ATGTGCCCGGGTGGGTTGCAGGCTCCATCTCCACTCATGTTTCATACGGGAGGCCATCAATCGATGCTTCTCTCTCACATCTATGTGTGTCTCTTTCTTTCTTCCTCTCCCTTCTTTCTCTAAAATTTTTTTAAAAAGCATATTAAAAAAAAAGAAATAAAAGACAGTACAGGTATGTGCTTTAATGCAAGAAAAGTGATGCACACACTGTTGTACTCAAGCAATGTGCCTGGCAGGCGCTCACTCAAAAACATACCCCTCATCCAAACGTGTCACTGAGGGGTTCCAAACAAGTAAAGAAGTCCTGGGAGAACATCAAGGCTCTGACCAAAAAAATTGTGGCCCATGAAAGGAGAGAGTGAAATGGCGTGTCAGCCCGCTTCTGAGTCCCCACATCCTGGGAAAGGAGAAGATCACCAACAGGCTGCCAGGGCAGCTCTGCCTCCTGCAGAGCTCTCCAGAAGAAGAGCCTGATGACCACCCAGATGCTGCAGCTGTTTCAAACTGAGAACTGCGTGATGAGAAAGTTCATACATTTTCCAGTATGTGAGGCACTTCTCATCCTGAACCCTCATGGTCAGCTGTCAGAATAACGACCAATAAAAATGACAGGAGTAAAACCTCTCAGGAAGGTGCTTTTAAAAAGATGCACTAGGAAGAACACCATCAACAAATGTCCATCTTACAACTGCAACTGATACAAATGAATTGAGGTGCCTGTGGCCAAAGTCCAGTAGATAGAGCCAGAGTGTGAAATGGCAGAGGAGGAACACAGGATGAAAATGGAAGTTCTCAGTAAAAAGATGTATTGGGCCCTGGCCAATGTGGTACAGTGGTTAGAGCATCAGCCTGGGCACCAAAGGGTCATGGGTTTGATTCCCAGTCAAGGGCATGTACCTGGGTTGCAGGTTCGATTCCCAGCCCCGGTTGGGGCACATTTGTGAGGCAACCAATTGATGTGACACATTGATGTTCCTCCCNTCTTCTTTCTGAGCTCCATGTAAAGAGCAGCTCTTCCAGGGATGGTCACCCTGCAGCATTTTGATCTTTAAAGCATCGGTGGAAACTTGAGCTTTCTTGTGGGGAACTGGAAAAGACTGGACTGGGCATCAGAAGACCTGGGTTCTGGAACTGGTGTTACTTCCTCCATAATCATGCACTGGCAGATTCTTTCACCTTTCCTGAACCTTAGTTTTTCACATGTAAATGCGATGGATGTGCCTTTGAAAATAGTATTAGGATATGCTAAAGTGACTACTATATTGTTGATTCTTGCAAGATTTGTCTGAGAAATCTCCAGTATGATAATCAGTTTGTATGGTTTCTTCTAATAGCTCAGCAAATCCTGTGAGCATAAGGCTAATAATGGAAGCTACTTAAAATTAAAATTACCAGCCGTAGCCAGCTTTGCTCAGTGGTTAGAGCACCGGCTCTCCGACTGAAAGGTTATGGGTTCGTTTCCAGTTAAGGGCGTGTACCTCTGTTCGTTGGGGCACGTTTGGGAGGCAGCCAGTCGATGTGTCTCACATGGATATTTCTCTCTCTGACCCTCCCTTCTTCTCTTTCACTCTTTCTAAAAATCAATGGAAAAAATATCCTTGGGTGAGGATTAACAACAACAAAAAAAGATGTATTGGGAAAGAATACTACAAACTTTTCCCAATTCACCCTAAGACTGTGAATGTGTGGCTCCCTTGTAATTAATCTGTGTTGGCAAAGAAAGTCTGGAACATGAACTTGTGGTCAGTAACCTGTAACAGGGTTACAACTAGGAAAATTACAGTGGTAGTGGTAGTAGTCACTTATTTAAGAATACATTCAGGTAGCCCTGGCTGGGTAGCTCAGTTGGTTAGAGCGTCATCCCAGTACACCAAGGTTTTGGGTTCAATCTCCTGTCCGAGCATATACAAGAGGCAACCAATGAATGCATAAATAAGTGGAACAACAAACTGATGTATCTCTCTCTCTCAAAATCAATCAATAAAAAGGAAATTTTTTTAAAAAGAATACATTCAGATAAATAGCTGTGTCCTCTGTATCCCTTAACTGGCAAAGAAGCTGTTATAGCCTTCTCAGAATTATCACTCTGAGTACTATAATTCTGAATGTAATATTTCTTAATTAAAATTTATCTAAAAACCAAAAAGAAAATGAAAGAGAAATTACTAACAGTTGTACTTCAGAGAGAAAAGAAATATTCCCAAAGAAGTATCTGAGATGCAAGAATATTCTCATAACTCAAGATAGGGAAGGACTTCTTAAACTTGACCTAAAAAGCACAGTGTATGGAAAAGGTTAACATATTAGATTACATTAAAATTAAAAACTCATTTCATCAAAAGATACCATAAAACATGTAAGGCATGATGGTAGAATACACTTGTGATATTTAAAATAGTCGTTGAGATCCACACTATTAGAAAGAATTCCTGTGAATCAATAAGAAAGGACAAAGTTCTAAGAAATTTGGAAAAAATAAAAAATTTCACAGAAAAGGGAATATATGAAAATAAGCTCATTCTCATTAGTAATCATAAAAATTAAAGTCTAATGAGTTACACAGAAAATCTGAAGGAATATACTAAACTGCCACCATAAAAAAAAACACACAAAAACTCTCCTTGAACTAATAAATGAGTTCAGCAAGTTGCAGGATACACTATCAACACACAAAATCAATCCTGTTTCTATCCACTAGCAATGAACAATTGGGAAATTTAAAAAAAAAATTTTAAGCAATGCTATTTACAGTAGCTCCCCCAAAATAAAATACTAAGGCATAAACATAAGAAAATATACACAGGATCTATAATGCCCCAATCTACAAAACACTGATTTAAAAAAATTCAAAGAGCATCTTAATAATTGGATAGGCATACCATGTTCATGGATTGGAAGACTTAACATAGAAAGAATGCCACTTCTCTCCAAATTGATTCTCTAAATATAACACAATCAAAATCTCAGCAGATGGAGATTCAGATATTGACAAGCTGATTCTAAACTTTACGTGGAAAGGCAACGGAACTAGGGAAGGGGTGAGCTGTGTCCTGACATGGGCAGAAATGTGTCTCACCTACACTGACAACTTTTTTGATTACAGTGACTCTGTAGAAAGTTTAAAATCTAGTAGTGTGATTTCTCCAAACTACAAGCCCAGGAGACATCCTTGCCTCCACCCAGTCACTCCAGATCTCCAGTGGTCATAATTCAGCAGGCTCTTCTTTTTCAAAATTAATTTATTACTTTATAAAAGATGAATTCCTGTGTGCTCACTGTGCAGTGCAAGCAATGGAGCATTATCATTATCTTTTGAGGCCTCTGTACACCCATTCCCAACCCCTTAGCTCTTTCTTCCTCAGAAGGGTCACTTTCAGCAGGTGCTGGGGAGGATAGATTCTAAAGGAATTTGGGAGTGGCAATGAGTCAGATTTTGTACATATTCGATTTGAGGAGCTTGAGAAATAGGGGTGAGGCAAGTGAGATGCCTGGGTGAAAAATGTAATGAGGAACTCACTTTCAATGTTATGCAAGTGCAGGGTTGGCCTCTGCAGAGAGTAGAGACATTCATTAGACGAGTGAGTGGATGTGTGGAGCTGAAGGCCACAGAGAGAAATGGGCTGACAGTGGGTTTCTGGGATCCGGCCTATGTGATCCTTCAAAGCACTGATTTCACAGGAGTGAAGAGAGGGAGAAAGAAGAGGTTCCCAAGGACATCCAAGGAGCCCCAGGAAGGAAAGTTAATCAGAGAGTCAGAGACACACCAACAACAAAACCACGTGGAGGTCCTGGCCAGGTTGCTCAGTTGGATAGAGCGTCGTCCCAATACAGCAAGATTGCAGGTTCGATTCCTGGTGAGAGCACATAGAAGAGGCAACCAATAAATGCATAAATAAGTGGAACAACAAATTGACGTCCCAACCCCCTTTTCTCTCAATTCAATTAAAAACACACACACACTTTACCCAGCCTGTTTGGCTAGTGGTTAGAGCATCGGCCTGTGGACTGAAGGGTCTCAGGTTTGATTCCCGGTGACAGGCACCGTACCTCATCGAGTGTATGGGAGCAACCGATCGGTGTCTCCCTCACATCAATGTTTCTCTCTCTGTCTCTCCGTCTCACTTTCTCAAATAAATATTAAAAACCCAAAACACTTGGAGCTCATGTCGACCCTCTCCTTCAGGCCTCTGACTAGATATGCATCTAGTAGACATGTAGTTCTCCCCTGGGCTCACCAACAGGGGTGCAAGCCCAGCCCACAAGCAAAGGCAGAGCCCAGAGAAGACAGGTTTGCTTTCTCCACCAAGGGGATAATTAATGACTGGATACAGTTGAGAGGAACCATACTGAAGCTGTATTGTCCAGCAGAGAATCAGATACTATAACTTAGCCGGGGTGGGCACCAAACCAAGTACCCACAGGGCCAGGCAGGCGCTGTCAGTGGGTGAAAGGAGCCAGGAAAATGAGAGTATATTCCACAGTGAAAGTGGGCGACAGAATATGCCACACAGTGGTGTGGGGTTGCAGGGGAGGAGCATGTGACCCACTGAGGACTTCAGGTCCCTTTTAAAGAGATAGTCACAACTCATTTTAGCCTACTCTTGCCTGGGAAATGGGTTCACTGTAGCCAGAACGATGGATTTCTCAAGAAATGTCTGAAATCTGGATTTCTCATGTGAAATGTCTTATTTTAAATGTTGGCCACTCATTCAAACACATTTTAAAACCTGTATATGCCAACACTGTTTGGGTCAAGGAGACACATCCACAGACCAAATTTAGCCAAGTCCTTCTGTGGGCAACCTCTGTGTTAACTTCTTGGATTTTTTAACAAAATGTACTATGGCTCAGGGCCAGCCCTCTTCCCCATTTCCCTCGATTCCCACCTGACGTCACCTGAAGAGCTTTAACCAGAGTCAGACGAGAAGAGAGACCCTGCAAAGGGAAATGCGTTCCACACAAATAAGCGAAGCTTCTCCTTCCATGATTTTCTCTTACAGGTATTTGGGTGCTGGGTCTGGATCCTGGTGGCTGCCACCCATGTGGCAAACCCGCTGCTGCAAGGATGGGTGATATATGTCTCGCTGACATCGTTCCTCATCTCCCTCATGTTCCTGTTGTCTTACTTGTTTGGATTTTACAAGAGATACGAGTCCTGGAGAGTCCTGGTAAGAACCAGCAAGGGGGACTCAGGCCCTCGGGCTCCCCCAAGACTGGTGTCCTGAGTGTTGTGGGGACAAAGGGCCTTCTGAGTGTGGAGGGAGAACCAGAGACCCTTCCTGGCCTAGGGCCCTGTGACCAAGACTTTTTATGTGAATATGTTTACCATGAACCGGCACGAAAGCACTGCTCTGCCAGCTTAAATCTCATTGTATTCACCCCCCCCCCCC